TCGTATACAACCGAAACGCAAAAACCTTAACAGCACCACAGGCTCACAAAATACTGCAATATCTCCACCAAAAACCCAAGCAACCTCACAAACACGACCTCAGGAACAAAGAAACACCATAAATACAATTAAAAAACACAAAACTCCTTCTTCACATAAACACACCACGGTTATCACAACCCACTCGTATTCAACCGAAACGCGAAAACCTTAACAGAACTACACGCTCACAACATACTGTAATATCTCCACCAAAAACCCAAGCAACCACACAAATACAACCTCAAGAACAAAGAAACACCACAAATACAAGTAACGCAACTTGCACTACAAAGACAGGTCTACCCAATAAAGTTACACGTCCTAGCACACTTAAAAAACACATAACTCCTTCTTCACAGAAACACACCACATTGTCACAACCCACTCGTATACAACCGAAGCGCAAAAACCTTAACAGCACCACAGGCTCACAAAATACTGCAATATCTCCACCAAAAACCCAAACAACCTCACAAATACGACCTCAGGAACAAAGAAACACCATAAATACAATTAAAAAACACAAAACTCCTTCTTCACATAAACACACCACGTTATCACAACCCACTCGTATTCAACCCAAACGCAAAGCCAAAGAAACACTTACACAATAAAGTCTATTTAATAAAATTACAGGAATTATTATAATGATATTTTTGTTTTGTTTTCTTCTTTCCTGATAGCGTTGACTATTGGGGCCATTAATAGCTATGTTGGTAAGTATGAATTACATACTATCTCTAGATTTCCAATGTGAGTGTGTGAATATTTATTTTATTTTTTATTTTTCTTTAGAACCCTACATAACTTCACCAGACACAGACACTAATCGTTACTTGATTTTAATCCGTGCGATTAGTTAACCAGGCTAGACCTGAGTTCTCACAAGAAACACCGACAATAATAATAATATTTATTCCTGTAGAAACGGTTTACCGTGGGGATTTCGAATAGACCTATCAAAAAGCCTGCGAACCGCCTTACGAACCTTTTCAAGCACTGAATTCCACAAAGGTGTTCTCTTTGTTCTTCGAAAGGTTCCCAGTTTAGAGCTGTCCTCATATGACGCTGTTATGGCGTCGCATACTAATGCGACCGCCTCTCCCGGCCACCTGTCCTGCTTTCCGACAGAGCAAAGGTGACCCATCCAACCGGTCTAACGGTTTCACCACATAGCAGTCCGGTCATCAGTGGATCGGGGATTCCGAAACCTATAGGGTCTGTAATGGAATGCCAGGGTATTAGTTGGAAAAGCGAATGTGCCTTGGGATCCTTCGCCTTATCACAAATTCTGCCTCGGGCTATGACTAAAGTAGGGGCTGTAGAACATTCAAATCAGTTGTTTGCAAGTACTTCATAAGAATGGTCGCCGCTCGAGTTCGTATCCGTGCTACTCCGTACGATATGGTGTGCGTTTGCATCACAGCCAACCATAATAAGAAAGAGCCCACCATTTTGGTGGAGCGCCTCTTGAATTCAGAGTCGGACAGTCAAAGCCACGCGAGCCAATAGCTTGTTGACATCTTTTTCGACCTCTGACGGAGCCGGTAGTAATCTCGACGCCGTTTGGAGGTTGATAACGAAGGATTGAGCCTTCTCCTTACCTGGTGGCCGTGTCATCTGGGATTCCGTCAGCCATCGCCTTGATTACCCTATGGGACGCGCCTCTGACCTAATAAGAGAAACCGTCCTCTCCAACCAGTCCAAGGCCCACTGGTCCTCGCATTCGGCTACAATGACATCCTGCAGGTTTCCGTGGAACCCTTCCAGCCGAGGGAAAGGTCCCCCTCACCCTCCACTTAGGCTCGGTGACCGGGTGCGACACCGGAACATGGTCACCCTGAGCCTCGTTGCAGCTACTTTCCCATAGGTTGATGGTGCACCAGGAGCTTATTTAGGTGCTCTAGATACTTTAGGCTTCTTTTCAGGCCGCCCTGAGACTTCGAGTGCTTCCCTCTCTCTAAGACGCTTGGTCCCTTACGTTGGATTGCTCCCCTGAGCCAGACAGAGCCTTAGGCTTTGGCGCAGGTCCTTCTTGGCCCGAGGTTTAACCCTCGAGACGGTGCGTCCAGGCCATCGCCTTCTGTGCGCCAGTCCTTGCTTTTTGCGAATTAGGAGCTGACCTATCCTACGGGCGAGCGGAATCGCCGGGGGCGAATCTTCCAGGAGCGAATTTGTCGGGGGCGAATTTGCCGGGGGCGAATATTCCGGGGGCGAATTTACCGGGGGGAATCATCCTGCAATCATAATTGTGTCTTCTTTCTCTACACATTCTTAACCCATATTTTCTTTGTGAATATTTATTTACAATTTCTCGCTTTTCTTTAGCTCTTCAGTTTCTCCTGTATAATTCCTGGTGACTGTCCTAGGGCCTTATGTGATTATTAGTTATTTATGTATTAAGGGCATAATAGTGATGTTTATATATTCTCGAGGGCGACGAGTTAAAAAGCTCGAGGGCCTATGGCCCGAGAGCTTTTTAGTCGCCCGAGAGTATAAACATCAGTTTATGCCCGTGGTACATACACAATTTTATGTTTTACTTTTACAAATAGTTTTCTTCGTCAAAATTCGTTAACAAAATAATTCATTATGTTTGATCGAGTATGGGTGGTTCGAATTTGTTAATGTGATTGAAACCATCCAAACGTCAAACGTAATTTTAAATAATTCAATTCATCGTGAATGAGGAAGAGGTTCAAGAAACTACCTATATGAAATAAGGTCAATCTTGTGATTTAGTAGGTATTGACAATTAATAATTGACGTTTCTAATCTTCAAAGACCTGCAAATATTTGTTTGTTTTGTCATTAAGTATAAATGAGTTACTATGGTGATACTTAATGCCCTAGGGCATAAAGTGGTACTTAATGCCCTAGGGCATAAAGTGGTACTTTATGCCCGCGTATCACAGATATAAAATGTGCTATGATAGGTTAGTAAGACATAAAATAATTTACTAACTCTTTTACATGCATCCTCTTGTTGCTTGTATTCCTTTGTGCCTAATTTTGTTTCTTGTTTTTTGCATGCCTCGTTTGTATTCAATGTTTCCATAGATACCCGCTTTTAAATCAATTTCTCCAAATTAGTAGGCCAGCGTGAATTAAAAACAATTGTTATAATTTAAAAAATGGACAAATAACATCTTTCAAACGGAGAGTGTCTCAAATAATGCCTCCTTTTCGGGTTTGAACAATCAGTGTGCCAAGCTTAAAATAACGCCCATTGAATTACAGCTTGAACCACTCGAGAGGCAAGTCAGAGTGCGTAAAACGTGTATTTTATTCACGAAAGGTACTTATCGACCTGAAGTAAAAAACACAGATTGGGAGAAGTACCAAGAATCGTTACCGAAGGATAACGATCCATATTGTCCCGGAAACCTAAACTACCATCTATCTCACTATAATCGTATAGGCAATGGGCCAGAGGAACCCTTTGAAACGACAACCTACAGTACGACTGAGCAAGTGCACGCTAGGGACTCTGTTAGAAAATTATTTCACATCCCCAACAAATACATGGTTAATTATTATACGTACAATAACACTTTAGCTTGTGACAGTGATGCACGTAACAAAATCTGTCCGGAGACGTGTGCAGCAAGCTACTCAACGACCATGCAAAAAAGCTACAAGCCACCTCACCCCTACGTGATGGAAAGGGTATAATTTGCGCTTAATAAACTCCGCTCTAGTAACTTAGATTCTAGTTATCATTCCCCAAAGCTCCATTTCTGTTGCACCGCCGTTACAAGTGGAAGAACAATGCCCAAACTTCACCACATACCTTTTATGATGAAAGGGAAATTGATGAAATTAAACAAATTCAATGTATCAAACGTTCGAAAATGATTTCGTACAATCCTCTAACTGCACTAAACTCTGATGGCAGTACGCCGCCAACGGAACGCAATCAAAGGTGTGTGGAGATGGATTACAACAAATACAAATAGGTACTAAAAAAAATATGTATTAAAAGATATACCGTACAAATAAATATAATTAAAGCCACATAATTTTTTTATTTTTGAGCTAATTACCATGCACTATCGGACCTGTACCAAATACTAACATTAATAACTATCTATAAGTAACAGATAAATAAATGAAATAAATTCCGAAGAGAAAGTGGCACTTTCTTCGCAGGCCATTATAACAGTAACAGTATCCATCAACAAACTTTGCTAAGTTGTGAAAGTAAGTAATTCTGATTTGGCACCCCGTAAACAAAACTTCGTAAGTAAAAAAGAAAACAACAATTCAAAGAGATATTCTATTACTTTAAATGCAGAGTTCGCACCTACTATAAAAAAATATCAACAACAATGCACCTCATAATAGAACTTTCTTTAACACAATTATAACTATAACTGTTACGCTCAAAGCAATGTAAACTGCGCGGGTACTTCGACGTGTAACAACAAATTAATTATCGTAACCGACGCAGTTTCAATCACTTTGAACCGGTGAAATTTTAACATTATGTAAAAATAGTTCAGTCCATTTTTTAAGTAGACAGATTCATTTCACAGACGACAATGACCAAACACAAAAGATTAACGAATATTCCAAACAGCACGTGTCAAAACCTTAGAAACAACAAAGATCTACACTAAACATTAACAACCTAAACCGATAACGTTCAGATCTACCAGTTTAGGTCTACACAAATTACAATTGAACCAACCTCTAACCTCAGAGCCAGCGATTTTCTATTACGGAATATTCAATTTATTACATGTATAAACAAAACAGTACAGCAAGCAAGCAAGTCAAATGATCTTGAAAATAACATAAAATCTGTACAGATCCTTGAGGAACACCACACTTAAGTATATTTGACAAATGAAAAATTCATTCTTCTTTTTCCAAATTTAATTATTATAGTCTTGTTTTTATAATACATAATGAATGCCCTACCTACGGTACGTGAAATATGGTTAACAATCACCTTCACTTGACTCCGAGATTTGGATTGGCCAAATATCAATTTTGAATTTAGATATTAAAAAACTAAAAAACAAATTACGTCTGGGGTTTCATGCGCGGCTTTCAAACGAGATATATTAATGGAAGCGTTTTCTTTTATAACTCTTGCCCCCCTTCGATTTCAGCGATCGTTTTCGTTTTTTACTCGTCCCACTCGCCTCGCTACCGAAATTGGTAATTTCCCCGCCTAAAGTTCCCACGGTGGTTAACTGTCTTCTTGCGTGTTTATCGGCTTTGGTAAGTGGCAGTCTTGTAAAGTACTCCTCCTCGTAGGCCTGCCGTTCTTGTTGCTGCTTAGTGAGTATCTGCTGTGCGCGGCTGCTCTGTCTAACTTCGACCGGCGTATCCAAGTACTCCTCTCTTAGATCTTGCATTATTGCCGAAGATAACGCTAATCTTTTGTTCTTCTCTTGTTCTCGTTTGTTTCGCTCGTTCGCTGTTTCACCTGAAAGCAATTGTTTCGTTAAGATCTGAAGCTGGTTCACAAAATGCACTACATTACTACGCACTACTACTACTGTCGTATGTTATAAAATAACCTGATTATGTATATGTAACCTAACCCCCCCCCCTAACCGGAAGTAAAAATTTAAAGCGCATGGTGCCAAATTTGAAGTACACCCCTCCCCATTTCCATATGTGGTGATGGCACCTCATTTGTTAAATGTTCACTACTTTTTTACTACTCCCATTTGTACTCAAAATAAATCAGCAGTTAACTAGTAGGTTTTAAAAGAAGTTTCACAAGATTGCCTTAAAAATCACATAACAAAAATCAAATAATTAGCGTCTATACAGGGTGTCACTCATAATGTCATTCTGGTTCCTCCTCGATGTCCCCGAAACGGTTTTACGCGATTTTCAATATTTTCTTTAGTTTGGAAAATATGGCCGACTGCAAGTTTTAAAATTGACACCCCGTATATAACTTGTACAGTTTTCGAACCCTTTATTCAGCCAACTAAATTAATAATGTTTTTGTTTTTTGTTTTATTGTTGGTGCAATTGTTTTGCTTGATTTGTTATGAAAATGTACAGGGTGACTCAACGATTGGGCGGAGTAACTTATGCCTTGCAGATAAGATTTTTCTATAGGGTGCTTTTGTATTAGGATATAGTTGAAATTCTCCACATTTTAAAAATATTCGGAATTATACAGGGTGCGCTCACAAAGTAGGGCGCTAAAATGGTATATTTTTTTTAATGGAACCCCTTGTATTTTGAGTGCATTTTTTAATTCTACAAACGACTTTTTTATTATATTGTTAATATCCGAAAAACTAGTAGTTTTAAAGATAATTCAAAATTTGGCGTCAGTTTATTGTAAAAATTATTACTTACATTATGATTCTTGGCTTTATTTTTTTATCCTCATCTACTATGAAACATTAAAAAAATGGCTTACAGGGTGTAGACGCCACCTACCTAGTCGAGATTGACACATTAAAACACACCAGGAAGACATCGATTGGCTTTGGCACATTTACCCAGTGTCTAGAGCTCAGCCCGTCGAAACAAGAGTGAGGGAGGAGTTGGTTATGGAGTCGGTGGGTACGAATACAAGACCAATGTAAAAAACCACACCGTTCTAGCCCTCTGCATTCCCGAATAAACACCAAAATATGAAAATGTGCCATTTATAAGAAGGGGTGGGGGTGGGGATGAGTTGGTGTTGCTTGTTAAGTTGGAGGGTACGAGACAAAAAAAATCCCGCATTGTTCTAACCCTCGGCGTTTACGAATAAACGTCAAAACGACGAAAAATTATCTACTTGACTCGGAAATTAAAGTAACTTGGCCCCACGTGCTTCAATATATTTCCTCGCCAGTAATGTGTCATTTTCCTGACCCGATTTTCGTCCCAAAATTTCCCCCGCTCCCCCCCTTCGTCCGAAGGGCGGGGGTAGTATGCCATCGGTAGGGGGACGTGGTTGGCCGCATTTGGCCAATAGTAAATTTTTTCAGGTCATGTCTTTTTCGCGCCCCGAGAGCGTAAGGCGGAGAGACGTCAACAAAAATAAACTTTGCACCCTCCTCCTCACCCAAACAATGACATGGTCGGAGTTGGGACACCATAACATATTTCGCGGATCCGTTTGGGCTATGGATTAAGGGCGTTTCGAGGGGAGGAGCAGGATTAGTTTTAGAGCACCTCGCAATTTCGTGAGTACTTATGCCCCCTCCCCCAATATCCGATATCCAATAATTAATAAATCTTACTTATAGCTACGCGTATGAAGGTAAAATCATTTAGTTGCATGGATGCATACAAATTTTGCCGTGAAAGGACCCCATGAGGGGGGGGGGAGGGGGGGACTCAAATAACCACCCAGGCGAAGGCCACCAATGGAACCAGACCGGGCCTGACAGTGCACCCATATGATGCTTATAAATTTTTGACAAACATTTTTGAAGACTGATGGTGGATCGGGTGGGTCACTTTGTCATACGACAATTGAGTAAAATGCACCCACTCATCTGCAGTCATTCAAATCCCTTAAAACTAAGGCCAAAAACAATCCAGCTCAATGGCACTCACCTGTAAAATGAACAGCAGATAGCTTCGGAGGTACATAAACTCCGGTCTTCGATTTTTCCTTAACACTCGTGTACGAATCGTCGCTTTCATCACCGGAACCTTCACCCTGCTCGACGAAATTTTCCGGATTGGCCTTAAACGAGGTGGGATCGTCCGCATTTACGCCGGCGGTAGCCGTTCTCACCAACTTGTCAATTTGGTACTTCAATTTACGATCGATGGGCCTAATTTTTTCGAGCACCGTCCGTATCTCGACCAATCTGTCTATGCAAGGATCTCCTTCGATTTTTTCGCCCGAGCACTTGCGTAGTACGACGTACGTTAAATTTATTAAATAGCTGAGTAACATGTGATATTTCATTTCGAGAAAGCTGAGGCCTTGGTCCGTCGTTAGTTCGCCCTTACGTACTCGGTCTATCATATTGTCGACGAGGGAAGCGACGTGTTGTGCGCTGACGTTCATTTCGTTAAGCAAGACCAAGGCCTGGGGAAGATCGGGATGACCGACTAGTTCCTCACTTGCCTAAAATTACGAGAAGAAGGTTATGAACTTAAAATTACATTTCGTTAATTAACAATGAAAAAATTCCCTTCAATTCGTTTTCCTATAAAAATCAGTAGCCATGTTTGAAAAAGAGAAAGGGGAAAAAAATTAGGGGTTGTTTTACGTATGGGAATTTTATTTATTTGCAGACCTTCGAATTAACTTTAATTACGTTAAACAATAAATACATACTTGAACCATTGTTGCGGACGAGTTTTTAGCGAAATTAAAACATATCAAAGGCAAAAAAACTATAAAAACAGCACAACACGTGCCACACTTTTATTTCTGCTCAGCTTTTTTGATCGGCTACAATTGAAAAAGTGGGGAGACGTTTTTATTACCACCAACATAACTTTACTCCTCAAATTAACGACTTAATCTACGTGAAAATTGGCTATTTTTACATACTTTTAATAGCCCGTGCTGCAAAATAGTGTCTTAGAGGCATCGTAGTACCCACGAGGTCGGGACAATTAATTTCAAAATAGAAATAAATAAAAGGTTCAAATTTACCGCCTAATATCGACGTCGGTGATTGGTTCACCACTTCGGCCATTTGCAATATTTATGGCGGGCTTCAGACTTAATTTGTATTTTTTCAAATAAACAAATTTGTGAAAAGAAAGTCACTACTTACCTTTTGCATGAAATTTGCTTAAATACTATGTGACGTCTCCAAATCACATGGACAAAATGATTCAGAATCTACAAATTTGCAGCTGTTCATCATTCAAGTCGCCCCTTACTCAAAGTCAAAATGTCCTCCCTCCTGATGGACACTCAATTCACACCTGGAGAACAGACAGATGCTCTCAGGGACCTCCTTAATCCTGGCTGGAGGTATGACTGAAGGACCAAAGAAAAGATTATTTTAATAAACCCTAATTAAACCAGATCTAAAAAACAGAAGAGCCCCTCAGTGTGACCCTACAGGGTCATTGGATTTGACCCATTTTTAATAGTCTGCTTATATGTGGATATAGGTCAACTGTGCAAAGTTTGAGCCGCATCGGCCCAAATGTTTGGCAGTTATCATGTCCACGGACAGACAGACACCACCGACTCCCCTTGAATTGCTTTGCTCTGCCGTTTAATAAAGATGAAAATGAATGTGAAATAAAAAAGATAGAAACATCAACGAGACAGATTATGTGTTTTAAGTTTTATTCATCTTATTATTAATAATGATAATAATAAACGCATGTTTAAAAAGTTTGTTACACACATCCAACACGTTTAATACAATAAATGATTTAAAATTCTAAAACAATAACAATTTATATATATACAAGATATCTTTAAGCAGTCTACAAACAAAACAGTACTACGATTATAGAATGTAACTATATTCGTTCGAGGAATGTCAGATTTTGTTCGCTCCAAAAGTTACGAGTATAAAAATAAGTGACGAGTTTACCGTTAAAACGCGGCGCGAAAGAAACCATTTTGTACTTTTTCCGTTATAAGATTAGGTACCAAATTCGGATAATACAAAAATAATATTTTTAGGCGTACAAACAATAAGCTAACTTAAACGAACGTTTTGATAGCCTTTAATTATATTACAGGCAGTCTACTAATATCTATCTAGTACTTTATTATATCTACGTTTAAATTCGTTTTTATTACACGGTCACCACAGTGTATATTGCCTTTGTCATTTCTGTATGCTGATTTGTTCATGTCTGGGTTTACAAATGAAGATATTTAGAGAAAAATTATTACCAAAGTAATGTTCTATTTATAGTAAGTTAGTTAGTAGTTGGTAGTTTTAGAACTGATTAAAAACCAAAAACTTAACAAAGTACCTGTTTTCTATGGGAAAAGAGTTTATTTTTTATGGGCGTTTTAACCTGAAGGGACTACGGCCACTACGTATTTTTGCACGCATTGGGAGAAATGTTAGTCAAAACCATGACAGCAGTAGGTACTATACCGGGTGCCCATTATGTATGGAATATAGTATATATCTCGATAACTAACGACTGTGTAAAAAAATTTTCTATATAAAAGATATGTAACAATTTATTTCCCATAATAAGGCAGCATTCAGTTGTTTTTATTTCCGAAAACAAATGAGTAACAAAAAACAAATGAATTTTTTTAAATGTCAGTATACCTTTTTATTAAGCTCATTTGATAGATTTTTTTTCTCTTTTCGATGATGCATCATGTTAGTACACTCTTATACAAGGAAGACAAAATGAAATTAGCAATAAAATGGGTTTTATCGCAAAAAGTGTTCAAAAAATTTTTATTATTAACTGCAAGGAAAAATTGAAATTAATGTCCGAGTATATTCTGGGAGAAATTACTGCCACAATTATTATTAGTTTCGTGTTGCCTTCAAGAAACGTACACGTTCATTTGTTTTATTTTCATGTAGGATATCTAGATTAATGTTATTGATGTAATTATAAGTTTTTTTGAAAAATTTTCTTGTATAAGGGTACATAGCTATTTAAAAAAATTCAGTTGTTTTTCGATGCTCATTTATTTTCTGAAATAAGAGCAACTGAATACTGCCTTGTTAAGGGAAATAAAATGTTAAACAACAAAATTTTGTATACATTCGATATTTACTGAGATATATACTATATTCCATACATAATGGGCACCCTGTATAGAAATAGAGTGGGGATGATAATGTTTTTTACACAATTTATTATCTTGGGGATTATTAGGCATTAATGGAATTACTGGCAGTATCTTTGATATTATTGGGTATGATTGGTATTATCTGATATTAATTCAAGTATCATTAGTAGTATTTGGAACAGGTATTCTGGTATTCTTGAGTAATCTTTAGTATCATGATATTACAACCAAAATAATACCGTTTTTGTATTATAGTGTACAAAATTTGAGCTTGTGAGCCACCCCTCGATGGTGAATGAACGAGCAACTAACACTGACGTCCCAAATGAACATAAATCCATCAAATATCCTAGCACAAATTGAAGTATTTGGTACATAAGAAATAAATCGAAAGAAACCTAAAAAAAATAACAAGGTCAATTAGTGTTGTAACTAATGTGAAAGTATTTATGAAAAGTTAGATGTATTCGATAAGGTTGTTTCAGAGCAACTTTCGTTTTATCATTGAATAAGTATTCAATGGTTTTATGCAATTTTTAGTTTTTATACCTTGTTTTTCATCATTTCATGGGCACCCTAGTTTTTATTCAGTTTTTAAATTTACAGCTAAATTTAGTATAGATCAGCCTAAACCAGGGGTTCGGCAACCTATTGAAATGGAAGAGCCAAAAATTACAATTTACAAAATTTCCCAGTTCTTAGAGCCACAAAAAATTTTTGATTCAATATTATAGTTTTTGGCTATATGCAGGGTCCTGCAACAGTCCGTCGGTTTTTCCTACATACCTGGTAAAAAATATTGATCGTTGCAGATCTACAGAAATTATTTTTGAATGTACAGGGTGTTCCATTTTTACGATGTCAATAAATAACTGATGTTTTTAAATAGAACATCCTGCATATTTTTACTTGTTTCAATGCCATTTGTTCAAAGTGCTATAACTATTCTTTTTCAAATGGATGTGTGTTCTCTTCAATGTTTATAAGGGGTGCCCTGTACTTAAACCCCACAGTTTTTATGTTATTCAATATTTTTTACAAAAGTACTCATTCATTAATTACGTGTTTACACATCGGAGTAGGCTGCTATAATAAAAAAACAAAAGAATACAAGAAAGTAAACAAGTGTCAAAAATTAGATAATTATTTGCTGCAAGTGTACTTTTGATTTCGTAAACAAATAAGATTAATTAAAAGGGCGAATTTCGTACACATGAACTAATTTCTTTAGATAAATACGGAGAGCCGCAACTTTATATCAAAAGAGCCGCAGGTTGCCGACCCCTGGCCTAAACCAAACAGTTTATGAATTATTCAAGTTTTTTGAAATTTGCAGAAAGTATCCTCCATTACAAACTGTAGTTTTGAAAATGTGAAAATTTTTTTATGGAAATCCCTTAATTCTTTTAACAGTGGATTTTACACTTAAAAATTGGACATCCCTATGCCTAAAATGAACAGTTTTTTTTAATGAAATGAAACTAAAACTTTTGCAACTATTACAACCTCTTTAATTGTTAGTTTGCTGTTATTTAAAGAGCCGTCAAATGCTATCTGTATTTAAGAATGGTCAAAATATTAACAAAATTTACAGAATCCAGCATAAAATTCAACAGTTGAAGAAAGAAAAGCTTCTAGTAAATTTATTTAAAAATTCAGAGGTTTTGAAAAATGTTTATGGATATTTTTAAGAGATTTTTGGGAAAAACATCCGAAAAATAAGCATTTTCAGGTTTTCAGGCAAAATTAGAATTCCAAATGTCTAAATTATTAGACTTATCAGAATGGAATACCTTGTACATTAGTACAGGGTATTTCATTAAAAAAACAACTCTTAGTTTCCATCTTGGACCTTGGTACAGTAAAAACCTCTCTCGGTCATTAATATCATTGGGAAAGCTAAACCTTAAACAAAATTACAACCTTGTACTGACCAACCTGTAACTTGAAGTCATGGAATGATTAATGTGGGGTCCACAGAGTATACTATCACAGTTAAAAGTTGCTAAAACAGTTAAGACAATTACGTTGTACTGGAATTTTTCGAATTACTGAGAGCAGTAGGAGTTGTATGTACCTAGACAGAACAGAGACTTCTTAAATTGTCGCAATACACACTGTAAGTGACAGATCATTTTCAAACAGCTTTAATTTGCATATCCCAAAAAGACCTTTAATTTGTACCACCTCCTTAAGATTGGTTCTAGCCAATATAATGCCATTCTTTATAAGAATAAAAGCGTGATGTTAATTAGAGCTATTTGAATATGATCTCTTATTAATGATGCAGCCTAGTACAATGAGCTTTTAGATACCCCTGACTCTTAAACTTTCGGTTGCACGTGGAACACTTAAAATTACGAGTTAAAAATTGTTTCTTTAATTGCGGATTAATAAACGGATTGCCGCGTGTTCGACACTTTACACTGTAAGGCGACAACGTCCGACTCGTCTTAAAATGTTCCGTAAAGTTCTGCATTTGCTCGAGATAATTGGAATGACGCAGGTAACTGTCGTCGAAAAAACCGGACGTCTCCACTTTGCACTGAGCACTGTCAAATTCCTCTTTAACTTGCGTCTCGTTATCGTAACAGGCTTGGACTAAAGGAGACGATAAGTGGTACGCGGAGTTGTCCGATTCGTCGACATACTCCTGCTTTATACTTACACTAGGTTCGACCATGACAATTTCTTCTTTTACGTGTATCGTTTCGGCTTCCTCACAGTGATCGAACATTGTCTCGTCATCGCTACAGTCGGAGTCTAACGTTTCGCTAATATTAATAATGTTCTCCCTGTAATCAATGAAGTGATCGCAAAAAAAGTTTTTGGTAAACTTGGCCAGCTGCTCCAGAGGCGTAAGATCGACATTCTTTTGCTCATCAATGACCAAGTTAATGTCGTATCCGAAATCGAAATTTTTGGTAAACTTTAGGAGGCTCTTCAGACCACCCGAATTGACACTTTTCACCTTCTTGGTCGGTTCCTTTACTACGGGAACTCTCGCCTCGGTTTCCGTAGGAATAATTGTATTACAGAGCTTTGTCAGACCGTGAATGTGGATGTTGTGCATAATCTGATCCTTTGTTACTTTGGAAAGCAGTTTTCGGAGTAAGGAGCATCGTTCGTCTTTGCCGACCCTCTTCCGTCTAGGCTTGCGCGATTCTGACGGAATGTCAACGTGAAGTTCTGAAAGTCTCAATTTATTGGAGGCCGCATCGTCCGACATGCTCAGCAACTCGGTGAGATACTGCTGAAGGATCGTGGTCGACTTCCTGCACATAGTGTGAAATTGATAAGAAACTCTAAGCTTGCTAATACACGAAGAGCAAATTTGCGTAGACAAACTTTCCCTGGATATCACCTACAAAGTAAAATCAATATGGCATCCAGTAATAAAATTCTACTTGGAATAATTTTACCATTTGTGTACATACTTTTAATTTCTCACTTAACTTTATAGAGTCATAATCTTTTGAATCGATATCTTTTAATTCACCCCCCGTTCGAATGCAAATACGACAAAATTTCGCTAAATAGTACATAATTGTGACAGTTCATAAGTGTCAATTAAATCAAATTTATGTCACTGCCACAAATGTCACCTGTCAGGATTTGTTATTTGGAAAATTTAATAAAAACAAATAAAACTACAGAATGGCTACCCTACAAACGAAAAATTCCCAACTCGCATGTTAGTGACATTGCACATATATACAGGATGCAAAAAAACCTTATTTATGTCATTGATTATTAATGGCCAATTGCACCGTCAAAATTAAGTTACCCTTAAACGTTTCTTGACTTCTGATCTTATCTTCATCCCTGACTGTTAACATTAAAGTAGTCAACGAAAAGAACTGTGTTCTACCAACCAACTACCGCCCTCCCCCACATCCTCTTACCATCCGTGTTTTTTCTAGGGTCAGGCGAGTGAAGAATTCCTGAAAAAGATTGTAATATTCTCTAGGAGGCCTAGAAAACTCCGGAAGGTTTTTGAAATGACCTAAAAAGACTGACTTCGAGTTGCACTCTGGAACGGCTTTGGAAAATTTTCGAGTGCTTTCTAAGCTCTTTACATGACCATCTATCTTTATGCTTTCCAGACCCAGCAGAGCCTACAAATTCTGAAAGGGGTAGGAAAAACTCCGAGCGTGCTAAAGTTGCGGAATTGGTGAATATCCCCAGCCCCAGCAACTCCAATGAACACTGTATTGTTACGCCACTGAATTTTTTTAATTCATACTTGTGTCGGTAATGCAGGTTTCCGTAACGGCTAGTTCTTTAATATGGTGTGTAAAAGCAAAAACATATTCTGCCATTTTGCAAAAGTGGTTTAGCATTTATTTTTTTAGTGTGTTTTATGTTTTTAAAGGACAATATACAACAACAATAAACAAAAGGGGGCACAAGCAAATGTTTAAATGGACGCATCGTCCATTATTACACAGGTGTCACGGGATGACGAACAATTGAACAGTTATCCGCCCGAAAAAGGTAAATAACAAATGACAGTTTCAATTAGGGGGAAATTATTTACGGTCCATATTTTCGTAAATATTCCCTTTGAAGTTGGGGGTTCGAAACGGGCCTCCCGTCGCCGTTCTAATCTACCACAAAAGTAGGCGTGTATCCTATATAATAGTAAACATAACTAAATAGATAGGAAGTAACTAACCTTGAGTTTCTGTGTAGAAATGGGTGCAACCAACAATTCTACATTTAATTTGTAGAATGCACCATTTAAGTACATCTTCACTTGACCTCTTTACAAAGTCTACCATTTTAAATAATCTCGTATTCTCTTTTAGGCTCCTTAACGAGAACAGATAATGACATATCTGAAATTAAAGTTTCCCAACCGGGGAATAAGAAAGTTAAACGTGGATTCTTACGCACGCTCTTATGTTGTTTGGGAAGAAATCGTAGCAAGTCTCAGAATCCTAAGCAGTATGCGTTCGGCAGCGACTCGCCTACTAGCCCGACGGATTCACCTAGGTTTCTTTTACCGCCTGTACGACATCAGGATATGCACAAAATGTGTATGGTTATAGATTTAGACGAAACGCTCGTTCATAGCAGTTTTAAGGTGAGTCGTGTTCTCGCGTACCTTTCCATTCTGACGCCACGTTTTCAGCCGATAAGCAATGCGGATTTTGTGGTTCCGGTCGAAATAGATGGGACCGTGCATCAGGTGTATGTTTTGAAGAGGCCGCACGTCGACGACTTCCTGAAGCGTATGGGGGAACTATACGAATGCGTGCTATTTACGGCATCGTTAGCTAAATACGCCGATCCGGTCGCCGATCTTTTAGACAAATGGGGGGTTTTTAGAGCTCGTCTTTTCCGTGAAAGCTGTGTCTTCCATAGGGGTAACTACGTTAAAGACCTTAATAAATTAGGAAGGGAGTTACAACAAATTGTTATTGTTGATAATTCGCCCGCTTCTTATATATTCCATCCAGACAATGCGGTAAGTAACTTTCGATCATTTCTTCATTTGTTTTGATGATATTTTGTAGATTGTCATTAGAACAATATACAGGGTGTTTATTGTAAATACACTTTTTCTGCCATAAAAGAAAAGCTACAATTTTTGATTATTTATAAATTGATTTTACTTTGCATTTCAATAGCAACAGCTGTAAATAAACAAACCAGTTCATAGAATTATGTAAGCAGTCTAACAAGTTAGAATGAGAGAAGAAAAGACTAGAAGAGATGTTCATTTATTTTTAAGGATCCCATGATTTTTAAAGAGGTTTAATATTAATAAAAAATTATGTATTTTTCCTTCAATTGTAGGTGATACACTTTTTTAACATGTTTTTCTGATTGGGCATGCCTCTTAAGCAAAGAAAAAAGAAATATCGGGTAAAACCTCCTTTTAAAAAATTTCCTGTAATCTTGTTCATTGAGATACCACGCTAAAGTATCTTCTTTTCTGTAAAAAAAGTTAGTACTTAAAAATACAAAATGACAGAAATCTTCGATTCGGTTCAAAGGACCAATTTAACACTGAAGTTATTTATAAACAATTGCATTGTCATAGTCCATGAACACAATAACTTTGCACAGTTCACTTAAATGCCACATGTTAAAGAAGTTTATTGAAACTGGGTCAAATCCAATGACCCCGTTTGGTCAGACAGAGGTGCTAGGTCGCATATTTAGATCTGCTGTTAAACAGTTTAACCTTTTAATTTTGATGTGGATGAATGTTAACGTTGCGTTCGATGATTTTCAATAAAGAAGGGCGTTTGCTATACAGGGTGTTTTTTGGGAGCTTTAGTTAAAAGTTTCTGGGAAAGTAAAATAGGTAGGTTTTTGAAAATTTGTACTTAGGAGTTACTCTGAAGGCCGAATCGATTTAAAATTTTCAAGATGGTTACACTTCCGGAAACACCGGAAGTAGATAGTAACTTCGTTATTTTAAATGGCAACCCCCATTTTTTATTGCATTTTTGGATTCTACGCGAAATTTTAGTTCTTTTGATACCCAGATGTCGATATCTACCATTTATGGTTTTTAAGTTATTTTGACTTTAAGAAAAAAAATGGTGGATGCAGATGGTACCTTGATAATTGATTACTTGAAAACGGTTGTATTCATGGCAACCTATTTTTATCAGTGCATAGAGAGTGAATAGGGCTTTCTTTTAGTGCACTTAAAAAAAAAGTTAAGTTGCGTACGACCGCTCCTATGGATATCCAAATTTATGAAACTTCAAAGACTAAAAACTCAGTTTTTTTTAATGGAATGACCATGTTCTTACTATTCCACGAGATAGAGAATCGAAATGGGCATATTTTGATAATACATGTTCCTATAGCTATCTTTAACAGTTTCTGACTTATTCCCATTTTATTGAATTGACACTATTTTTTTCGGATTTTCTTTTTAGTAGTCGGCCATGATTCTATAACAATTGAATTTTAAACAAATCTAGTGACACTAATTCGTCACCTACTGTTATAGGTTAACATAGTTTTTCAAAAATCGAAAAATGACTCGTAGTGGTTTCACCTTTTTTGGAATTTAATTGTTATTTATGGGCAGAATCGCGGCGCATGCTTTCCGTACATTCATTCGAAAACTGGAACGAAATTGTATGCATTTTGGAAATGTTGTACCCCTAATGCACTACAAACCGTTGAAGCACAAGTGATACAAAGCTCTACAAGAAAATATATCCTTAATAAATGAGTTATTTATTAATGAATTATTTAACCTAGAACTAGAATCAATGGTATTAAAGAGTCCATTCCTTGATTTGTTTAAAATTCGATTGTTATAAAATCATGGCCAACTACTAAAAAGAAAATGCGAAAAAAAATGGCATCAATTCCGAGATCAATTCAATGAAATGGGAATAAATCAGAAACTGTTAAAGATAGCTATAGGAGCATGTATTGTCAAAATATGCGCATTTCGATTCTCAATCTCATGGAATAGTAAGAACATGGTCATTCCATTTAAAAAAACTGAGTTTATAGACTTTGAAGTTTCTTAAATTTGGATCTCCATAGGTGCGGTTGTACGCAACTTAACTTTTTTTTAAGTACACTAAAAGAAAGCCCTATTCATTCTCTATGCACTGATAAAAATGGGTTGCCATGACTATAACCTTTTTCAAATAATCAATTATCAAGGTACCATCTGCATCCGCCATTTTTTTTCTTAAAGTCAAAATAACTTAAAAACCATAAATGGCAGATATGACATATGGGTATCAAAAGAACTGAAATTTCACGTAGAATCCAAAAATGCAATAAAAAATAGGGGTTGCCATTTTAAAATAACGAAATTACTATCTACTTCCGGTGTTTCCGGAAGTGCGGACATTTTGAAAATATTTTACATAGATTCGGCCTTCAGAGTAACTCCTAAGTACAAATTTTCAAAAACCTACGTATTTTACTTTCCCAGAAACGTTTAACTAAAGCTCCCAAAAAAACACCCTGTATAAGCAAAGCGTTTCAGTTCAGTTCCAATTTCAAAGCCGAAGTAATAAATATTTTGCAATGTTGTAAATTGTGTATATGTGAGTGATAAATAATATTTTAATTGTTATAAAGCAATTCATTTCAAGACTGTTATAAATTTATTGTTAATTAAAAATTAAAATTGTTAAGTAAATAAATGATTCACGTAATTACATTTATGTTCTAATAGGAACCATTTCCTTTTTTTTTGCAAATCTGTTTGCTTCAGTTCTCCCGATAGTCCTCCTCCTTTCCATATTTTGTTGATTAGTTTCATCAGCATATATGTATATTTCCCTTTTCCTCTATTTATCATCTTCTTTCTGTCTGTTCATCTTTTTTTTCCTTGTATTTCCTTTTGTACTTTTTACACTCTCTGTCCCACCACTCCTTTCTTTTATCTCTCTTGTTTGTAGAGATATTTTTTTTAAATGTTAACCCAAGGTGCTTCTAGTAAGGGCAACATATCGCATATAGTAAATATCGGATGTGCGCATGCGCGAACGGCGCAATGCCAACTATTATTTATTGATACCTTTTTTCAAATTTTAACCACAGATGCTTCTACTAAATGCGAACATAACGCATGTACTAAAAAATCAGATGTGAAATGCGCTAAAGTTACTCGCCTTGGGACGAAACCCTTTTTTTTATTTTTTTAAAGTAGTGCAGTTTCAATTTGGTATCAACAAGTTATTATTTAAAAATGTTAACACTCTGTATATTTGGATCTTGGCTACTTCTTCCCTAGATGATCGCGGTTCACTAATTTGTTCCTCGCTACAGGTACCGGTGGCGTCATGGTTCGACGACATGTCCGATTCCGAACTTCTCGACCTGATACCGTTCTTTGAGAAACTAAGTAAAATGGATAGCGTGTATACTGTGCTGTGTAACTCAAATCATCCGTTTAACAACGGCGTCTTAAAGAATTTATCGGGTCACTCGTCAGCAGCTCAAACGCCTAGGGATACGCCAAGTTCGTAGCATTACGCCACACTCGGAAGAATGAATAAGGTGATTGTGTTTTTTATCCGAGCTTTTATATTGGGAGAATTTGATTTGAGATCAAACTGGTAATGGTAATACTTTTTTTTAATATTTTTAACGTAAATTGCAATTTTAATCATTGTACTCCTGTTTTAATGTGGTGTGTGCGCTTTTATAAAATGTGAAATCTTCCTTACCGCGCCCACCTTGAAATAATGTTCTACCAACACCGAAAATTTGTTGTGTAAATGTAACATTGTGTAATTTTGATCAAAAATTGATTAGTTATGCAGCTCCAAGGTACTGTTGGCAGTTTGTCGCTTTTATCGGTATATTTGACGCGAGAAATTTTATAGAAAAATTCATAAACGAAACGCTAGAGCCTTTAAATTTTTATTTGATTGCGCTCAAACTTGGAGTAAATCACGTAGAAGTCATGTAAAAATTTTCAGGTAACCTTACTGTGATAAATTATTTATTTTTCAAAACCAAACTCGTTTATGAACTTTTAAGTAAAAAAAGCAATAATTAAAAACACAAAAAAAATGCATCCCAATTTGATTCTGTGCAGTTGAGCGGTGAACATATCTTATGTATTGAACGGTTTGATTTACCATACCCGTCAACGTTCGAGTTAAAAAAATTCCTTATGACATTAAACAATCATATCTCATCCGAGGTGATTAAATGATATGGGAACAATTAGTTCCGGTACAACTGTGGCCTTAACAATGAATATCAGTGACATTTTGAATTTTTTTATTGGAAAAATTTACTGTAGATATTGTACGTATACCGTTCGCAGAGGTAAGTGGTATACAGAATGAATACGATTTCGTAAGATAAATACGTAAACAAAATTAAATAATTGGTCCACTCTCCCATTTCTTTTACAGTGACCGGACACGTTTTAGTTGTAAACCACAGATTGGTATAGTCATTAAAAAACCTTCCTCGTGTGTCGTATGTAACAGGGTTTTTTAAATTGTGCAATAAATTTTTATTTATATACTGCGGTTTGTCTCCGTCAATTACCGCGAAGCGGTTTTTATTTTCACACCCTCAGCCAACTAGTCAAAATTGGTCTTCCTGTACGACACGAACCAATTATTTAATTTTGACGCGTTCGAGTCGATCTGATCATGACTTTTAATAAAAACCTTTCAGCCTTAAAGGTTGCAAATTTTAGTAAATTATTTTAATAATTTGTACAGAAAGTTTTTTTTTTACTAAGGATTCAGGTTTAAATAAGTCCTTATTTATATCCGTATTTTATTTTAGTACAAATATGTTATGCGAGAAATTATTATTTTATATTAATTTTAACATTGTACAGATATAGCAATTATTTAGAATTAACTATTTTACATTTTTATTATACATTTAAACTGTTATTGCAGTAGGTAGCAGTTCATATTTTTGTAAATCATAGTTAAAGTACCTCACATTAAAAACGAAAGTATTAAAATTTACAACCTTGTAAATCTGGAACGAAAATGTTTCGTTTATAATCAAATACTGTCAAATCAAAAACAGTTTCATCTTTGTGTTCATGGCAACCATTACCCAAAAGACTACAAAATGTGCTCGATTTGTTTTAGAATTACACCTTCTATACATGTACGTGTGATTGGAAAATGTTCAAAATTGTAGCGATTGACATTTTAATTATAATTTACGAGAGGAAATGGATATAGCATTTGCGTTACTATGTATATTATATTAAGTTGCAATATTCTAATGTGGGGTGAAATGATGTAAATTAACATAGATTTAATTAATATAATTTTTATGAATTGACTCCTTTGTTGTTATAGAGTAATATATAATTGTTTATGTTGAGAGACTAGAACTGTACATTTGAATCTTTGTACAAATTCACTGTTGCATAATTGTCATGTGAATACATAATATGCCTTGAATTGTAAATAAAAGCTGTCATTTATATGTATATTGGTTAATATTTTTTTCTTCGCTTCGTCAACCACTTGCAAGGAACAATGTTTCTAGCATATATAAACATGATAATAAAAACATTTGTTACTTTGCATCAGCTTTAAATATAAGATCATTATCTACTTACCACACTAATCATGCAAGTAGAACAATTGAACAACAAGATTTTGATTCAGAGAAGGCCATGGAAATTTTAAGTACGTATGTATTTGTGCAGTAAAACTACTCTTGTCGCTTAAACATAACAATTATACATGGCCGATGCCTCTCTTTCAGGACCAACTCTGAATCAAAATTTTGTTGCTCACTCGTTATCAATGTGTAAGTAAATTAGCTGTTTATCTTTGTTTGCTAATGACCATTTTGATTTATCTTGAATTGAGTTTCCTACTTTAATCATTGGAAATCCCATTGAAATTAATTGGTTTCCAAAGATTACTGCATATACAGTTATGTATTTGGCACCATACAAGTGTGTCCAAATTTTTTAAAAACCGGAAGCGAAAATTCTAGTGGATAATTTAATGACAGCTAAAGTACCATTTTAAAAATGGTGCTGGTAAAAAAAAATAAATTGTGATGTGTTACCTACCTAGGGGGAAACAAGTACCATTTTTGGTGTACACCAAAATTTCAAATTAATTCAAAATAATTCACGTAAATTCAAATTAATTCACGTTAATTCAAATTTATTCACGTTAATTCAAATTAATTTACGTTAATTCAAATTGAATCACGTTAATTGACATTAATTCTTGTTAATTCTAATTAATTCACGTTAGTTCAAATTAACACAGGGGGGGTGTACACCAAACATTCAAAGTTGTTTCCATCTAGAATTTTTCCAAAGCAAATTTTTACCAGGACTAGAGTTTGGGAGTAAAATATTTCAACGGCGGATTTCTTTTGGGGACAAATTTTTTACACAAGTATACCAGGGAAAAATTTTCCAAGAGCAATTTTATCAATCTTAAATTTTCAAGACGAGAATTTTTCCATAGAGATTCTGGAGTCTTTCTCAAGGTGCTTTTTAAGAACTTTCTAGATTTTTGAGATCAGTTACAGACCAAAATGAGTCTATGAAGATTTCGAAGCAGTATAGAAAGTACTAGTATGGTAGGTACTAATACAGAATCAGTTTTTTACCGGAGTTAAACGAGTCTAGAAAGGTCTGCGAATGGAAATAAACCTTCAGCTGCTGTGGAAAGCTGCACCTATAATATTATCGAGAGCATTTAGCAGATGCTTCGGAGCTAATTATTGGTCGTAGTGGGACTTGGTTACGGTTAGAAGATAGTCTTTTTAAGAGTGTTCTAGAAAATAATAATGTCACGACCACCAGCGTACAGCTAGTGATCCCTGATAGCAAGAAGTCTGAAGTTCTATGACAAATGCACAATGGTGTCGGGATTGAACGCACTATAAATCTATAGAAAAACATGGAAGTGTTTGGAAACGTCGAGAACTATGGAGAAAGAGGGGGATTCAGGATTCAGGACAGTTCTATTTTCAACGCCAAAGTAACAAATAGTTCGCGCTGTTATGAATGGTTTATTTGTGGGTGATAAATAATATTTTCACTGATATAAATCAATTCATTTTAAGACTGTTATAAATTTATTGTTAATTAGTTGTAATAAATAAAGCACATAATTAAATGTACGTTACACTAATAAACTGAAGAGAATTGGAAAGAAGGTGTTGACAAATCGAAGAATCAGCTTCAGTATTGAAAGGAAAGTGCCCATAGGTACAATAATGGAGGCAACAATTTGAAAATTTTACAAAATTGATAGGTTTTCTGAGATTGTGAGGCGATTCCGGTGTTTAAGTACATGGAACAAACAAACTACAATTAACGGACCTCCCTATATAGTCGAAATATAGCACCCTGCGATTGAACCAGAACTAATTAATTAAAGACCTTCGTAAACGTCAAAAAGACCAGGTGTTCTTTGACAAATGCTGTCAGATGATCAGTGTGTTGGGCCTTCGTGAGAATCGTGACAGCATCTGGGTCCAAAGCAATGAAAATCAATTTACGCGGAACACTGCAAGTGAAACACCACTAAAAAGGGCAAATAATGATTAATTCTAATTACTGGTAATTAGCTTGCATCATCACGAGAGATAACCGCCACTGGCTTAGGATAAGTGTGATTCAACTTTTTGTGTAAGCTTATCTGTCTGATAAGGCACTTTAAATAAATATTTTTCTTTTCAGTTCAGTATGATTGGCGCTTCAGCAGTGGCAACTACTACAATGCTCTCATTGTTAACGGAAGCTACAAAGTGAAAGAGGTTTTTATGGCGCAAGATTTTAAAGGAATGAATGTATCATTATGGAACAGAACCGAACAAATCAACATAATAAGTGAGATTAACGAGAGCATACTTAAAATTGCGACCATCGAGAATCACCTGTATCTGCTGACGGCAACGCATCGCCTCTACCATGGGGTCGTCAATGAAGGCGAACGACAACTACACTTGCAGCTTCACCAAGATGTCCAATTTAAAGATATCGATTCCTGCCAGAGATATTTATACGTAATAGATTTAGAAGGTTCCGTCTTCAAATATAGCAGCGATTTACAATTGCTACACGAAATTTTGTTGATAAACGACTCGAAGGTTTGCAGTCACGGGCATTGCGCGATTAAATTTAAAATGAAAGTGGAATCGTTAGCGATAGGCTCGTTCGGCAACTTGTTTGTCACGAATAATGGGCAGCTTTGGGGCTCGGGGAGTATGACGCAAGTAGGTATCAACAGTACAAATCCAAAGAGAATTGCCTTTTTTGATAGCAGATTTACTCACTGCGTTAATGTCGGCAGTGATTTTGCTATTGTCGTCGCTAGCAAGCAAGTTAGGAGCGAGGATACGGACAGCGACGAAGGCGAAGAGGACGTATTCGCTCCCTCTTGTCCTCATTGCAATTTTGTACCTAACGATCTAAGCAAGCTGGAGCATTTAGATAGCTCTTCTACTAGCAGTAGGAATAGCGTAAGTACTGCGTCGTTGGGACGCTCCAACTTAGAGCAAAGTTCCGAATCGAGCGATTGTAATGAGCGGGTCGCGAAGAATATAATCTTTCGTAATACGGAGGCCGCGAGGGAGTTTCTAACTCGTCAGTTTTCGTGGATGTCGTCCGCCGGCGAGGAGTACCTCGCCGAATGTACTGAGAAACCGACTCGAATAATAAAGGAGAACGTTACGAATATGGCCAGTTTTGTTTTTGAAGGTGTCAAGACTGTCGGCGATAAAGTCGCAACGCTCTCCCGACACGTTAGCGGTAGCTCGGACAACTGTGATGTATTGGAGATGACGGAGGATGTTTCGTTGCCCAGAATTACTTCCAAAGATGAGTTCATGTGGTCACTCAGTCAGGCTACCTCCGAACGGGACAATTCCGATCAGGGTATACAGGAGAGGTGCAGCACAATTCTTCGGACGGGAATGAATTTGCTGAATTGCGAAGTGTGGACCTGGGGGAATGTTACTTATGGACAGCTGGGTTCGTATTTTTATTTACAATTTGTCCGTGAAAGTTATCTTATTTTTGGCAACACGACCTTAGAATTTGTATCTGAGTGCTTTTAATCAGACTAGTCTGCTGTTTTGCGGATGACCTCCTAGCAAAAGTTATCGTGTGCCCTTAATTAAAACTATTTTTTGCTTGATATCTTTGTTGTTTGTTTTTGGTCTGTGGTAGGTAGGTATTGGGTCAGTGGCAATATTTTATTTCGTAATAATACAAGATAACAAACAAGTATGCTGTTCTGCTTCTGTTCTGGTTAATGATAGTAAGTAGAGGTAATCCAACTTTCACCTTAAAAGTGGAAGTACAGAAATCATCATTTTTTGTTCACTTTTATTGCTCAACTGCCATTCATTTCTATATGGTAGTACAAGGTTTAATTTTATCAAATGACTGAATATAATAATAATAAACAACCCTAAACACTTGTTTATGTGTTTCATGCTGCAAAATTTGCGGCCAGGGACAATGGGGTGAGACAAAACTAAATAGCAAACCCTATTTTTCCGGGACGATCTGAGACAATTTTTTTTCGGGGCAATAAAAAGGCAAAAATCGACTGCACCAAAATTTCTCGGGAAAACACTTTTTCTTATTAATTTTGGGGCATAAAATACATAACAATTCGTACATTTTCGATCAGACTTCTCAATCAAAAGTTATAGACTAAAACCCAATTTCGAAGGGCTGTAACTTTGGAACTAGTAGCCCAATCTTGGAACTGTTTGAAATTATGGATTCTACAGGCCACGTTCTATAAGAAAAATTTTTTTCCGGGACGATCTGAGAATTTTTTTTTCTGGGCAAAAAAAGGCAGTGTATAACCTTCCTTTTTTCCAAAAATCAACTGCACCAAAATTTCTCGGGAAAACACTTTTTTTATTAATTTTGGGGCGTAAAATCCAAAACAATTCATACTTTTTCGATCAGACTTCTCAATCAAAAGTTATACACTAGAAACCAATTTCGAAAGAAAAATCAAAGGGCTGTAACTTTTGAACTAGTAGCCCAACCTTCCTTTTTTCCAAAAATCGACTGCACCAAAATTTCACGGGAAAACACTTTTTCTTATTAATTTTGGTGCGTAGAATCCAAAACAATTCGTACTTTTTCGATCAGACTTCTCAATCAAAAGTTATACACTAGAAACCAATTTCGAAAGAAAAATCAAAGGGCTGTAACTTTTGAACTAGTAGCCCAATCTTGGAACTGTTTGAAATTATGGATTCATGGATTATGATCCATATTTACAGCATCTAAAAAACAGCATAGAAAATGTTTTAAATAATATTGATGGCCAGACGTTAAGATCAATAAGAAGTAATTTATTGCGAAGAATACAGTTGTGTATTAACGAAAATAGAGAACAATTTGAGCAGTATTTGTTGTGTTTTTGTTTCAAAGTAAGTGTTTTCCACATTCATTTGTACAGCGATTCTAAAATAAAACTGATACACAAATCTAAACCTGTATTTCTCTCATAAAAATTGTTATCTAAGGGTATACAAATATATGTATCACCGAATTCAGAATAAAATTTTCTATCGAATATGGATATAAAAAAGGTATAGTTTTATTTAAAATAACAAAGTTGGTATTGACAGTTCGTGAACCACTGGTTGAAAAACATTTTTTTCGTGCTCATTAAAATAGAAATTGTTTGCTCATTTAATAGTCCTCGTAGCTCTTATAGCTCCCGAAGTAGCAGTATTGAACAAAAAATGAATATTTGTATGCCTGTCTAAACTATTTATCCGATTGCGATGAAACTTTGGGAAATGGTTGGACGCATGCCCGCAAAGGTTTCTATACAGGGTCATTCTTGACGAGCGTCAGTTAGAAAGATATGGAAAACCTTTGAAAATGAAAATAAACTGATAAGTTCTTTAAGGGTTTTGGCACATGATGAATTGAACTAAAATATTTTCAAGATGGCGCCACTTCCGGAAATACCGGAAGTAGCCATCAACTTTGTTATTTTAAATAGGGACCCCCTATTTTTTCTACATTTTCGGATTCTACGTCGAATTTGGAGTACAACGATACCCCATAGTTGACCCTTTGCTCCAAGGGCTTCGCCGATATTCAAGTTTTTGTGTCAAAAATTGAATTTGCAGGGATAACTTTAAAAATTTATTATTCGAAAACGGTGAGAGATATTGCAAAATAGTTTTCAAGGAAAGATCGAATTTTCTTAGGGTATGTGTAAGAGTCTAAAAAAGTGAGACTACGTCACTTTTTCAATGCTCTCAACTTTTAAACTTTTAAATATCCGTAACTCCATTTTTTTCAAATGGCACCCCCCCATTTTGTTCTTCACCCTTGTTTTCCTTTTTCCCAGACCTTTAATTTGATGCAAAATGTCAAAAGCTGCTCCAAACGGTTTCCGAGATATTCCATGTTTTAGTTACTTCTTGTGGAAAGTTGATAAATAAATTAAGTCGCTTGATGTTATTCTTTTGTTTTTATTATGATAATGTTTCAACGTCAAATTTTCGCTGCTTGAACTTATACTTCTCAATTTCTCGTTGGATAGGTATCATTGAGCGATGCAGTTGGATTTGCAGCAAAATACGCCAGTACAGTTATTTCTTGTTCTTCAGAGTCTACCACAGGCTTCCTTTTTTGTATTTTTGTTTGAAAGATACCGTTATTCCTGAAATTTTGTAGTAATTTGCGAATTGTAGCCTCTGTGGGTTGCGCCTTGTCAGGGTATCTTTCGGAAAAAAGACGACAAGTCCTGGCAGCTATTCGATTACATTCACCGTGTATTAATATTAAATTCAAAAAATCTTCATTAGTGTAACCCAAACGAGCCATTATTGACGAGAAGTATAAGTTCAAGCAGCGAAAATTTGACGTTTAAACATTATCATAATAAAAACAAAAGAATAACATCAAGCGACTTAATTTTTTTATCAGTTTGCCACAAGAAATCACTAAAACATGGAATATCTCGGAAACCGTTTGAAGCAGCTTTTGACATTTTGTATCAAATTAAACGTCTGGGAAAAAGGACAACAAAGGGGAAGAACAAAATAGGGGGTGCCATTTGAAAAAATGAAGTTACGGATATTTAAAAGTTTAAAAGTTGAGAGCTTTGAAAAAGTGACGTAGTCTCACTTTTTTAGACTGTTACGCATACCATAAGAAAATTCGATCTTTCTTTAATAAATCAGTGAAAACTGTGTTGCAATATCTCTCACCGTTTTCGAATAATAAATTTTTAAAATTACCCCTGCGAATTCAATTTTTGACATAAAACTTGAATATCGGCGAAGCCCTTGGAGCAAAGGGTCAACTTGTACTCCAAATTCGACGTAAAAACCGAAACTGTAGAAAAAATAGGGGGTTCCTATTTATAATACCAAAGTTGATGGCTACTTCCGGTATTTCCGGAAGTGGCGCCATCTTGAAAATATTTTAGTTCAATTCATCATGTGCCAAAACCCTTAAAGAACTTATCAGTTTATTTTCATTTTCAAAGGTTTTCCATATCTTTCTAACTGACGCTCGTCAAGAAAGACCCTGTATAAATAAATCGGTATGAAGTTCGGGCGGCGTGAGGTGAGGCGGCGCAGCCGCAGAAACCGAGTATATGTCCCATCCGAGTCATTCATAAAAATTAAGTTTGATCAAAAACAGATATGTGCAGAGTTAAGCGGCGGAATCTCGTACTGTTATAAACGTTATAAACTGTAGCTCTGATTTACTAACAAATTTACCAATGTTGGTAACTCAACGCGTGACGTGAAAATTTCTCTTATTAGGTCGTCATTTCAGGAATTGGAGATGGTATAAAGCGTGAGCGGCCCATAATAATAACGAAATTATCGAACATAGGCGTGAGAAAGGTATCGGTTCAAGGAAGTCACGCGGGCGCCTTAACACTCGACGGCCGCATTTACTTGTGGGGTCGAAATGATTACAATCAAGTGACGATAGATTCGTCCGTAGACCAAAGTTCTCCGAGATTGTTCGCGACGAATCCCGAGGAGCGATTCAGAGACGTCGCGTGCGGACTGTTCCAGACAGCAATACTTTCTAGTCAAATAAGTTTGAAATACATCGGGAGACAACACAAGGACGATCATAGGCATGTTACCAGTTTATATGTTAGTAGTACGACTGATAGTGATATACAAATAAACAATCAAAACTTAAATGTAAGGGGCGAACTGCTCGTATCCGCGCAATATTTTTTACTAAACAAAAACGGGGGATGTTGCAATTATATTCGAGACTTTATACAATCCGAACAGGAGTTTTTGGATGATATTATTCTTGTGCACGCGAATTTAATTAAGACAATCGTCAAGAAAACTGGCACCAGCGCAGATAGTTTAGTATACGAGCAACTGACAGAATCGTACACAGAAATTCTACACTTCACAGCAGCTAATGTGCAATCTTTATTAGATTTTAGTAACGGAAAAATCGCCGACATGGATATTATCATGATTAGATATGCAGAAGAGCATATGTACATTTACAAAAAGTACTTGGGTGCTATAAACGATGCGCTTAGCATAGGTGCATTGACGCAAATTTCGAAACTAATTGATATCTCTCCGAACTTGTACAGAGCAAAATTGCGCGCGAAGAAAGAAAAAGCGAACGTCGAGGAAATGGTAAAATGCGCGCTGATGCTACCACTTCAAAGACTGAATACATATCCCTCCTTAATTCTCGAACTGATCGTCGGCTTAAAAAGAGAATCTCCCCTTTTCGACCTTCACAATAAATGGACCGTTATTGTCGAAGAACAGGAACATAAGCAGCGCGAAGCGGAAAAAACGAAAGACTTCTGGTGCAATTCCGGTAAGACAATCGATCAATTCCGTACGTCCGCAAGAAGGCTCGTTCGCGAAAGTCACAAACATCCAATTCAGTTGCAGAACGCCGGACGTTTCTCCTCCCATTGGTTTATATTGCTGACCGATGTTTTGGTGCACGTTAACGGCTCGACGCCTCACGTTCACAACCTGAAGACCGTCTGGATAGATCCGCCCACGGAGGAGAATTATAGTCAGAATCAAATATGTTTAAAGCTGCCCGAGGACACCTTGATTTTATATGCTTCAGAACCGGAGCAGAAGGCCGAATGGCTGCAAGCGTTAACGGGTGCGATTCGAGCAGCGCTCAAAGTTTCAAACATAATTCAGTTGCCCATCATACGAACGGCCGAGCACACGTTTTACAAGGCGGGTTTTTACAAGGACGCGAAGTATGTCGGAAGGTGGTCAAATGGAAAGATACACGGATCGGGACAATTGCAATGGACCGACGGTAGGGTTTACAAAGGGCAGTTTAATAATAATCAGATTCACGGTTTTGGACGTATGGAATTTCCGTCTGTCGGTACGTTTTGGCTGCCCGCCAATTTGAGTTGACATTCAAATTTCTAGGTGTTTACGAAGGTCTTTGGAAAGACAATCAACAAAATGGTTTCGGTATCCTGAAGTATACGAATGGTGACGTGTATAAGGGGTGTTTCAAGGATGGGCTACCGCACGGTCATGGCTCATTAAAACATGGCAGTTTTATAGCGTCCGCGGCTTCAATTTATATCGGCGACTGGGTGATGGGGTCCAAGAGTGGATATGGTGTGATGGACGATATCGTGTCGGGCGAGAAATATCTGGGTACATGGTCAGATAATAAAAAACACGGAAATGGGTTAATTGTTACATCTGAAGGGATCTATTACGAAGGAACATTTAGTCAGGATGTGTTTACAGTATGTAAGATAATACCATTGTATTTAAAAGGTTACAGTAGTGCCACATAATGAATTGTTGCGCTTGGGAGCCTATACTTTAATTATAGGAGTGTCAAATTAATGCTCAAGATGGTGGTTGGTGTGCCTGCCCAATTTCACGTACACAGTTTTAAGCGGATTTCATCCTCTAGCTTCTTTGAGCGACACCGCTTGCTAATTGATGCTATTTGAAACTTGGAAGGGGATACTCGTTTCAAAATCACATACAGCTTGTCTCATATGGTGGCAAACTTTGTAGCGTACGTCTTATCGAGTGTATGCGTTTTTACAAGCACATCGTCTCTGATCTGGCAATTTGGACCAGGGGTGCGCCTCTTTTCCGCGGCGGGTTTAGTATGGACTTGTTCTTGGTAGACGTCATCACGAATGCGCGCCAAAACCTTGAAGAAAACCTTCAAGTAGGGTGTAACCAGGGGTGGACTGGTCCGGGGGGGGGGGGCAGTCCGCCCCTGGTTACACCCTATTTGAAGGTTTTCTTCAAGGTCATAATGGCCGTTGTAAGCTGCAATTAAAAAAAACTGTATTCTAATTGATTTTCGAGAAAGGAATACTTTAAAATGAAGCAAAAAATGTTTTTGGGGTGCATTGCAGAGCTCCCCCCCCCCTCCCCCCTCTTCATTACACTAATACTTTAATGCCTCGTAATCTATGCAATTCCACCTGGCCCATAAGTATCCAGTCCGCCCCTGGATGTAACTAGAAAATTCCAGCGACTACGCTACTTCTTATTTTATTGAGCTAATGCTACATCAATTAAGTTTGAGTACGGTGACATAGAACCGAGTATTTTATGTATTACAATGTACGAGTATTTTTTATTGATTTACAGATGTAACTGTAAATTTACACATACGGGATGTCAATTTTAAAACTTGCAGTTGGCCATATTTTCCAAACTAAAAAAATATTGAAAATAGCGCAAAACCGTTTCGGGGGTATCGAGGGGGAACCAGATTGGCGTTATGCGTGACAACCCCCCTTAACCCCCAGCCCCCCCCCCCTTCTTGCCGTAAGAACCTTCTACACAGTATTAGAAAACTTTAAAGAAAAAGATGAATGAAATCGGTAAAGTCGTTCTAAAGTTATTGCGTGACCAGAAGAAACCGGGGTTCATTTTTATATATAGAGATGGGATGCGGCGCACGATATAAAGTGACGTTTAGAACATATGACTGCGACGACAGAATCCAAGCTTGCTATTTTTGACCTTCAAATTAATGCATAATATGAGGAGCTTCTTTTCAAAATGCAACAAGTCCATTTTTGAGTTTGATTTTGAGTTAGAACAAGATAAATATCTTAACAATTTTTATAACGACTATGAATTTCAAGTGTTTTTTATTTTGTTAATGGTAGGGTTGCATATTACGAGAATATTGCATTTTACAAAATCTATGCCAATCATTTTGATTATTATGGTAAGGGCACAGATTTAAATATAGGTACTACAGATGGATTATGGGATACGCAATTGTGGAAACATAACAAACGCTCCAGCTGCTATCGTACCTATATGAATTTGAATTTTATTAAATGGAAAGGTTTAGTTTGCGTCTCAGCTTAAAATAATCAACAGGTGTACCGTACAAGGGGGCTTCGATAACAAAGAATTTGATTGTAAGTGGACTGTAATTATGAATTACTTCCAAGGCCTTGTTTATGCTGGGAATGAAAGAATATAGACACATAAATAAACGTGTTTATTATCAAAAAATACAAAGTAAATGAATTTCTATTGAATATGGTTGACGTAGGCACGACGGCTACTAGAATATGGTAAAGTTACGAAGGGATAATGTAAACAAAGGAACTTACGTGTTGTTTCGAAGTCCATTAACAACGAAGGCGATGTTGCAATGGCGAAGATTGCTCTATTCTACGAAGTTGTCGATTGTGTCGATTTTGTTACAACGAAATCTTCTAATTGATGTGCGGTGCTTTGACGTTCTGCTTGTTAATAACGATGTTGCGAACTGCACGGCGACATCTTGACCCGTTGGGGATCGATCGAGATCTATATGCGAACGACGAAGGCTAATCGGCCATTGGTTAACGGCGACTTCTCAACGTAGTTGAGTCGATGGCTTCTAAGCGAAGAATCCGACGAATTCTGCGCGACGAGTACACATATTGCGCTTCTGCGGCTCATGCGCGCACACGTAACAAATAGGAATATATACAGGCAAGGCAAAACGGTTATGTACAGGGTATTTTCATTAAAGGAAAAACGAAAGGATATTTTATTCTAGTTTGGGGACGCAACAACAGGAATCTGTATAACGTTGGCATAGAAGGTTTTTACTATTGATGGTGCTGAAACGCAATGTAATATGAATTTTCTCCTCGTAATTAAAACAACGGGTCTTTGTATTGTATATTTGTGTGCCATGTGCCATTCTCTCTACTTTAATTTAAATTAATAAAATCCAAGAACAGTTACAGAATTTTTTTTCTATAGAATGGTAGTTTCAGTTTTAGCCTGAAAATTAAAATTTTGTTATGAACTACTATGAATAGACAGTTTTATTTACTTATTTATTTATTATCCCTCTCTACAGGGTGTTTTTTTGGGAGCTTTAGTTAAACGTTTCTGGGAAAGTAAAATAGGTAGGTTTTTGAAAATTTGTACTTAGGAGTTACTCTGAAGGCCGAATCGATGTAAAATATTTTCAAAATGGCCGCACTTCCGGAAACACCGGAAGTAGATAGTAACTTCGTTATTTTAAATGGCAACCCCTATTTTTTATTGCATTTTTGGATTCTACGTGAAATTTCAATTCCATTGATACCCATATGTCGATATCTGCCATTTATGGTTTTAAGTTATTTTGACTTTAAGAAAAAAAAATGGCGGATGCAGACGGTACCTTGATTAATTGATTACTTGAAAACGGTTGTAATCATGGCAACCCATTTTTATCAGTGCATAGAGAATGAATAGGGCTTTCTTTTAGTGTACTTAAAAAAAAGTTAAGTTGCGTACAACCGCACCTATGGAGATCCAAATTTAGGAAACTTTAAAGTCTATAAACTCCGTTTTTTAAAATGGAATGACCCTGTTCTTACTATTGCATGAGATAGAGAGTCGAAATTGGCATCTTTTGATATTACATGTTCCTATAGCTATCTTTAACAGTTTCTGACTTATTCCCATTTTATTGAATTGACACTATTTTTTTCGGATTTTCTTTTTAGTAGTCGGCGATCATTTTATAACAATCGAATTTTACTCCTAAGTACAAATTTTCAAAAACCTACCTATTTTACTTTCCCAGAAACGTTTAACTAAAGCTCCCAAAAAAACACCCTGTTTATACGTTCATTCAAGGCATCGTCAAATGAAATTTAAACCAGGTGTCAAATTCTTACAGAACAGCTTTCTATAACCACTCGAAAACTTCAGTCGTTATTTTTTTGTTTATTTTAACTTAATTTTACCACCCGCGCGTTAGTAAGGGAGGTATTGCAGTGGGGTAAAAAATGAACCCTCCCTTTTTTGACGGGAATACATGTTTTGAGGCACCAGGAATCCGAATCAAACAAAATCTTGATGATGTCGGTCTGTCTTTTGGTCTGTCTGTACTCTCATTTCCGGCAAAACGGCTAAACCGATTGGAACCAAATCTAGCACACATATTCATAGGCCTAAAAGGGCAGAATCGCGCATGCGCAGGTATACGGGTGGTATCTGTGCTAGCCACAGCAAATTTTTATAATATTTACTCCATCATGATCAGCACTGCATTATACAAGTATATCAAAGTTGTATTTTTTTAAATAGAAACCCCCTATATTATTGCATATTTCGATTACTGGGTCAATTTTAGTGTGACTTTATGTATTACACATGATATCTAGTTTAGCGTCATTTTTTCAAAAAATAGATGTCCAGTAAAAGTTGAATAACGAAGTTTCCATAAATCTTAGAAGGCTGTGACTCTGCAGTATATTACTAATTATCACGAGTACCTACATACGCCGAACGGTCAAAGTTAAACTTTTTTTGTGCTAAAAGAAATCACTACGTCAATTTCCAAAATTTCAATCAAAGGTAACTTGATTTTTTTTAATGGAACTACCAAGTTGTTTATTGCATCAAATGTAGGATTTGATTACCTTTCTAACGATATAAGCACGCCGTATTTACCTTCTACATATTATTTGTGCAATTCAGCAATTTCTAATAATACAGAAGGTTTTTCGATTTTCAAAGCCTCTCAGTAATTAGTAGGCCTTTAAAAGTTATAAGCACAAATTATAAAAAATTTTAGGTAATATATTTTATCCTATCCTAAAATTGACCAAGAAATCGAAATATGCAGTTATATACAGGGGGTTATATTTAAAGAAGTGCGACTTTGATCTAAATCACCCTGTATAAAAATTGCAATTTCGTTGAAAATATTTTTAGGTTGTAGCCTGAAGAGTCCTTCAATATGCCCTGACAATGAATTTTAAATATTCTTTTCAAATCCTAAGTATTAATAACCGCGTACTAAGCTGCTGTATTTTAAAGAATTTAATTTTTTTTTGTAATAAAACCAAATTTTTGGAGGTTAAACCAAGAAAAATAATCTCTTTCAAATAACTAAATAAAAAATTTAGCGGCTACTATGTATTTGAAAAAAAAAAGTTTATTTGTGAGAAAACCTAGCATAATTTGTGTAGGTTGTACACAGAAAAAGAAAGTCTTGCGAATAATTTAATCAAAATTTTGCGTTATTGCTATTTAAAAAAAATAGACTGACGGCACGGCGCTAAAAACTCATAGCAAAAAAAAAGTTTTTGACAGTTTTACATCGTTTATGCCTAATCTGCATTTGCAAAATCAAAGTAGGTAACTGTTTTGCCGACAAAAAATATTTACCAACGTACGTACATAGGTACATACGAGTTGTACATATATTGTTGCAGGTGCTCATTGTACATGAACCATATTACTTTAGTGTTTACTCATAAACCATTCCATTTTGGTTGCAACGATTTTTGTATGTTCTGGAATGTCTACAGACATGTACTTTCTTTTGGAGTTCATCTTTTAATTATTATCAATGAAATGAATTTAGCTGTAGTAGGTTCAATCGCTTTTTTGTATTTTGTAAAGAAAATTATAGGTGTTGAAAATAACTATACTCAAAAATCTGATTTCCCTATCCCATGGTGCTGCTGTAATCTTTTAAATACAATAGTAAGAGGGTTGAATTTACTTGAGCTCATGTTTAGGGACACGGTTTAATGATTTTGGAAGATGGTACGCATTATGAAGGCGAATTCAAAGGAATCGATAACATTAACGGTAAAGGAGTTTTAACGTTAAATTCTGGACATACAATCGAAGGTCACTTGAACGGTTCTCTATCGGACGGAATAAAAATTTCCAACGGTACCTTGAATTTAACTACACTTCCGTCCGCCGACTTACCCGTGAAACCAAACTCTTTCGGAAAGCTTTGCACTCCCGTAACGCAAAAGTGGAAGGCCCTGTTTCGACAGTGCTATCAAATGTTGGGAGTGTACGAGAATAACAGCAAAGTGAATAAGTTGCCCGACACGCAAAAACTGTGGCAGAACATTGCGGTTTTAATATCAAACTCGCATCAGGGAAGTTTGAAGAAGAGGAAAAGCGAGCGGAGTTTAGAGAATTCGTTAAATCAGCTGGATACGATACCTACATTTGGAAGAAATAGTATGGATGTTGCCAATTATATGGATGTTAAGCAGTATTTGGTTAAGGTGAGTTCACACAATTATTTGTTTAGTCGTGAGTCTGTGGATCATAGGCAACCATAATTTTTTTTAAATTTATTTATTTTCCCTCTCTTGTTCTGGGCCCCCAACAGGCTTGCGCCCAGTTACTCGCATACTGCTTTTTAAATTTTTAAATAATGTGAAGTTGTGTATATTAAGATTTTTTATTTTAAGGCTTTTGAAAGCCCCCACCACCCTTTAGGATCATTGCTGCTCGATGTGACGGTGGCTTACACAACAACTTACGGGGGTTTACACGCCCATCCCCTATTACTTACACATGCCGTTGAAGAACTCCACTCGATTACTAAACGAATATACGACATTGTAAAACTACTGTTTCCTGCATTACCGTCACATGAGAGAGACACTCCACCGGAAGACACTGAGGATAGGTATAAACCACTACATACACCTTTAATTACTTATGATCGAATTAGTTCCAGTGAGATAGTCGGTTACCAAAATCTGTTGTATCCATTAATTCTACCCAAAGTTCACCAACCACTGTTTATTTTATACACTTTACACAATAAATTGCAAGACTTGCAATACTGGAAAAGACTGACCGAGTGGAACAAACACTCGGATTATACACTGATGTCCTTTTTATCTGTCGATCAGTAAGTATCAAACTTAACGGACGATATTAAAAAAAATAGTAATTTAGAAAATTTCTAAACAACCACGCCCCGGACGGTTTATTGTCGTCGCCCGTGAAAGAGCAAACCTTTCTAGACGCCATTGAAACCCTGCAACTTCTCAAGACGACATTTTCGCCTATCGAAAAATTACTCATAATTCGCCAGACCTTTGAGAAAATGACACTAGTCGTACAGGATCAAATCGGACACGATTACAAGTGGAGCATGGACGACCTCTTCCCCGTGTTCCTATACGTTGTCGTAAGATCTAGAATTCTGCAGTTGGGATCGGAGATACATTTCATCGAAGACTTCATGATACCGAGCTTAGAAAACGGAGAACTCGGCATAATGTTCACAACTTTAAAGGTAACTCCGCCCACTCGCTCGCGCACTTATACTACATTATCAATTTCAGGCGTGCTATCAGCAAATATTGCAAGAGAAAACCTCTATTAGTTAATAAGTCCGTATTGCGAATTTTAGGTGTAGTTTACCAATTTTAGTTAAAGAGATGAAGTCGTAATTGTAAGTAGATATTTTTGTAAGACTGGCGAAACGAAGCATCAGTATTCAGTTTTTTTTTTTCGTATCTCCGTTCATATTGGACGATGAAAACGGCATATCAAATTTTGTGATTTTCAACATTCCTGTGTAGTTACTTTATTTTATTGTTAATTTTATGGCAAAGTTTAAATAAAGTTATAGTTACCTAATGCACATTTTATTATTATCTCTAGTATTTTGTTTTACAACCCAAAATCCATAACAAAAAACCTTTGAAATCTGTGGCACAGCCTGGAACACAAAGAGTAAACATAATTATCTTAAGATAGTAATTCTTACATCTTATCGCTCACCATGCGGGGAGTTTGACAAATTTTGCAGCAAGTTGCAGGCGGTACTAGACTCTCTATTTACATCAACTGTTCACTTCATTTTGCTGGGGGATATTAATGTTGATCCCGCTAGAGATAACGGTCTTTTTAGTAAAATAAGTCAGCTACTGATCTCTTATAATATGATAAGTATAGGGTTGCCATCTCAAAACTCTACCAACTGGGACAGGAAGCATGAAAACCCCGGATTTAGGGATTATATACCCGGACATATCACCTGAATTTGATAAAAAATATTTTCTAAAGAAATAAAACAACCAATTAATTTTTCTAAATAAAACAAGGCGTATGAAACATGAAACAACATTTGTTTAACTGTTAGGAATCAGCAACGGTTTATCTACATTTTTTTCTTTAAATGAAGCAATCATATACTTTTTTAACAAAATAAAATACAAGTTATAAGAACTAATAACAATAATTTTTAAATGAAACAAATATTTGGTCTTTTAGTAAAATAAAATGTTTACTTTTCAGGTCTTCGGTATTTATCCGTCGTTCCAATAGCTTCTTTACTTAAAAGAAATGTATAAAAATCTACACAATCATAATCTTTAAAATTGTACTTTATTTTTATCACTGACGAGACTGTTTCAATATTCAATAAATTCCTTTATTTTGCCCACTGTTGTGCCACTAGTGAAAATACTGTTTCAGCGTTGTCATTATGAGCAGGAATGCAAAACTAGTAGCGTCTCAACGAACGAGCGGACGGACAGACGGACGGACAAAGTGGTCACAATAGCGCATTTTTTTTTATTTTTGTGGAAATGCGCTAAAAAGTAGTGCGCAATTTTCAATAACTCCGAGTAGGTACCTCTAAATGAAATGAGCATTTGGTGTTTTAAAAATTGTTACCAAAGGTGATTTGCGCTTGAAAGATAGTACCAACCTCAAAACTTGGAGTACCATTGAAAACCCACCCGGACGCCGCCTAAACTAGGACAAATCCGGGGAAATCCGGATGGATGGCAACCCTAGATAAGTACCATAAACGCACCTACTAGGAAAGGTAAACTTTTAGACCATGTCTTCACAAGTGTTAGTTTAGGTAGTTAATGTTTTACAAAACTGCATTTCTGATCACAGTACCGTTCTCATAAAATCAAATATAGATGCTCCAAATCAAAGCGAAAAAATTCGGATTAGAAGGTATAATGAAAATCTCCGTAGAGAATTCTATAGTCAATTGGAAATAGAAGATTGGGTTCCAGTGTTAAGAGGATCGGATGTAGAGACTGCTTTTAATATATTTGGTAAGATAGTGTCTCATCACTTCAACAATGTCTTTCCTTATCTATATAAAAACAAAAACGCAAACGTTCTTAAAGGGTGGGTTAATGAGGACGTGAGGACGTCTAGTGCAAACTTGAAGTCATTCTATATGTTACATCATTACCTGTTTGTCGTAAATCTTACTGTTTGTTTGTCTGTTTACAATTTGACTTATCTTATCCATGTACCTAAATGGCTAAAAGATGAAATACATATATATTATTATAAGGAGAAAAGTTCAATTTTTAAGAAAAATAATTAAAAAGATTTAATAATAATATTTATTGGTGGTGTTTACACAGTAAATATTTCCACACGTCACAGTAGTGCATCATTGGGCTTTATTATAAGTGAGATTAATATTTCTTTTATTACCGTTGCTAGCTTGACATGACGAAGAGATTGTAGTTGCCTTTATCCTTATCTGCATCTTCATGTTTGTCTTGAGTGTGGGTGGTAAAAGGGCCGGACGACTACAAAGAAACGGTACAGTGCGCCCAAACATGATATTATCTAGGTGCGCGTGGCTATGAGGCCCTCATTTTCCTCTCTAAATCCAGAATAATATTGACACCACTAAGTAGGAAATATTGCACTCTGAGTTCAAATGCTCATCATCCCTGGATTATAATAATTAAAAGACACAGATCCCTCATAAAGATTCTTCTAAACTCTGCATACTTTTGTTGAATGAATAAGCGAATAATTTTAGAATTAGGGCAGTCGAGTAAGACAAAAATAGGTAATCAAGAACATCTGATAATTTATTGTGTTAACATATATGAGAATACCGTACCTAAACCAAGTTTTAAACTTCCAAAGACCTTTGGTAATTGAGTGTTTTTTTTTACTTTTTTCAGTTTCTTGTAAATATCTTGAGATTTATCGATTGCACGGAAAATATCCTGCCACGTCCTCTTAAACAATACCTATAACCTGAGCCAAAGAGCAGCTCTAAAGGGAACGGGCGATCAAAAATGAGTGGCAGTCAAGTCGCCTTTGGAAGTACGATTTTCCATGTAAACAAAAATTCCAAAGGTGACTTCACAGCAACTCATTTTTGATCGCATAGTATAACAGGTCCTATTTTTTCAAAAATTTCCCAAGCCCACTTTCAGTCATCTGTTTATTATAATAATATTGGCTCCTATACTCATCACCGGGCATATTTTCCAATATGAACTCATTTAGACAGGGACATATAGCGTAGCATTCCACATTCCTTTTGTCCAAGCTCCGATTAGGTCCCTTACGGACGAGTAGATTTCATTTTAGGTGGGGAGATTTGGTTTGGCGAACGAAACCACCAACCGGTACCTATTCTGCCTTGGGGATGGACCAGAAGTCGCCAGGGGCTGCTACCCATTAACCCACTGGGTTTTTCATTAGTGGGTTTTTTTCATTTTGAAATAATTAACAAGTAGTTTTTTGGCTTGGGCTGGTTTAAAATAAATTTATATGGCAAAAGTATATTTCAAATTATACACGAATCACTTTTAATTTTTAAAATACAAAAATAAAACAGATACTTCCATTTGAGATCGTTTAGTATCAGTTAACAATTCAAAACAGTTCAAAACTTGTATTCTTATTCTTACTCATAGTAAAATGTAAAAGTGAACCACCACAACACAACCACAATATTGGGGCGCCTTTTTTTTCATATTGTCGAACTGTTTAATTGCCATCGAAAAAATACTATTACCCACTTTTACCCGAAAAAAATCCACTTGGGCTCAGTGGGTTGGGGTTTTTAAAAAAACGGGTTTTTTCAAACCCTGGCTATCTCACTGTGGTTCGCCTACTAGGATCACCACAGATCAGGGACGAAAATTCGAATCCTCCTTATTTCATTGTTTCCGGCAGGAGTATTAGAAGCCGATATTCTAATTAGTGACAATTTTTGGAAAAAATATTTAATATAAGAAGAAGAATGTTTATTGGACCTATTCAATTTACATTGTGCGTATAATTATATTTCACACATTAAAAATTACACCAGGGACCTATGGAGCTACAGTGCTACTTGTGATCGCAAATTATAGGAAACTTTAATAACTTCTTTATAAATAATATTCAGTTATTTTTCGTATGACCACTACTCAGCTAGTACAGGTCTTTGGAAGTTGAAAGCTTTTATACTACTCTCATACATCCTAATAAAAATTAGCCACCAATAACTCTTTTGGTCACCCTAAACATTGAATTCAATTTTTTATTCAATGCCCCAAATAAGGAGCAGATCTTGGGATAAATCTTCCAACATACCACCTGTGTATTGTGTGTTGCCTACCGGTCCATATACGCAGATTACTATTGTATATCTTTTAAAGGGATTTTGTGTTATTTCTACAGTTTGTGATTAATAAAAAACATAAAATTTCGATGATCCGAGCCCCACAATTTTTTCCAAGACTTGCAAATTGTTTTCGTCCCATTTGGCAACGGTGTATTCAAATCACGTGTTTTTTGAATTTCAAAAATGAAGTACGATTTTGAGATTTTAAAACGCGCCAAATATGCGTTGGGCGTGACAGAAAAGTCGCGCCCGGGATTCACAGCGTCAAACACGGATGAGTGTGCGGAAAATTCGCGAGTGACGTCGAAAAATGTGAAGAAAACTGTTGATTTACAGTTCGCGAGGTATTGATCCGATAGTGTCCTCATCGCGTGACGTACGAAATCACGCCACACATCCCTTCCAGTCGCGAGATGATTCCGATTGGCTAAAAGAGTCGATCCAAAAATACGGTGGCGTTTTGCGTTTGTATTTGTGTCGAGTGGAAGGTGTGCTTCAATCTTATCGTGTTGCAAGAGATAAATTTAGTGCGTGGAGTGATTGAAAATCGGTCGTGATAAGACAGTTCAAAGTTCCAAGACTGCACCATTTAGTATCTCGTGTAAGTAATTAATTATCTACAATTCGATCTCTTTTTAATTTCAATGATATCGGGCATTGCAATAATTTGGGGTAGGTTATGTTATTTAAACTGCAGAATTCGCGCTACGCTACGACCGTTTGTCATTCGACCTGTCAATTTGTAGGTTGACGTTTCGCGTCCTGTTTTCCGAAATCCACGTGGGCTGTGGACCGTCAGGTAAACGAACCTACATTGCAGTACTCCCGTTACTTTAACCTACTTGCCCCTTCGCCTATTTTCCATCCGTGTCTAAGTTACTTACTTCTAAAGGTACGTCCGCACGTCTTCCGGATGTTGCGTAATTTATCTAGTCTAGACCGATCTTCCTATGAGTTCAAAGTTCATGCTGGCGGTCTTAATTGTACCCAATTTACATTGAATTGGTAAAAAATGAGCTTGGAGCAAAGGTTACGTGATAAGGATGATATAATTGGACGTTGTAGTAGGATGTCGTCAAGACACCCTCGCGTTATTTACGCCGATCGCATTAGCATTCGTAATCGAGTCGAACACGTTTCTAATTTAAATATAACCACTTTTCCTTCCTATTTATCCTCGTATCTATCTTATCCGGTAGTCGCGTCGTTAACGGTCACCAATTCCCAAGCAAAAGTTCAGGAA